AAATTTTTATGTACGTATTTTCGATAAAAATAGAATTAATTTTTTGACAAGTTATGTTATTATCTTATTTCTATATGTAGAATTTTTTCATGGATGCGTTCTATATTCGATAAATTTTTTTTTAATTCGTATTAATTCAAAGAAATTCGTAAATAATTGCATTCGCAACTAAAATACGGAACAAAAAATGCTAGTTGCATGTTAGTAGTTAAGCAAAGAATTGCGGTGTCCGTAAAGTTCGCATACATTTATCTGCGATCAAGGCTGATTTATTATAAGTAACGGTGATAAATGCGAGTAATCGCAGCTTAATCGAACAGCAATTAACCTTGCATTTCCAATTAAGCAAGTAAAGCAACGATCGTATTTCTCACCGAGATCTCTGAGTAATGACGAGACTGATTAGTGAGTAATCTTTGATTTCTCTTCCAAGTCCATATTATCAATATTATTTGATATATTGCATCGATATTTAATGACAGCTGACCAAAAGTTAACCATTAATTAAAATAACAAATAATGAAATTTTAAAGATTTATAATGTAATTATCATGTGTTGTATTATATTTATACAGGTTTATATATATATACATATTTAAATAAAAAATTGTAATATCGCGATTATAATTTCCAATAGCGCGTAAGGCATATGTTTTTTAAATATAAATCTTTTACTGCATTGTTACTAATTTAATAATTTATAAGAATTTCTAATTATTTGTGATACTAAAGAAATATTTAGTTTACAAAATATGTTCAATATTCAAAATTTAATAAGCATATCTTCGTTAAAATAAAATTCCTTAAAATAAATTTTTAAATCTTATCTTATTCTGTTAAGTATGGCAAATTTAAGCTAAAATTTTGAAGAAGTCTACATACGCAGAAATGAAATACTTAAAATATATTTAAAAAAAGAAAAATAAAGATTAAAGAATTTAACGTTATTCAATAATTTTAGAATATGGATAAAAATGTATCTATATATGCACGTATTTCAAGCCTAATTTATTTTATAAGAAAGCTGATCTATTTGAAATAACAAATTGAATCTATAAACTAGAATAAAATATATTTCGTTAATAATTAGAATTTTATCGGATCATTGCTGATCGGAGCATACACGGTATGAAATAATTTGCGTGGAAAAAGCTCACGGAGCGAGTGAGCCAAGAAATCTCAGACGGTATACCGAGGTAGTCCATAAGTCAGACTCAAGGCGGTGCGGATATCCAAAGATATCCGTGAGGAACGATCCGACGTGCCTTCTTATCCACGTCTGATCTGGTCGGACATTATAGGCGCGACAAGGTGGAAAGGAGACGCTAACGCCGATCGTCGACGAAAGAGAAAGAGAGAGAAAGAGAGAAACAAAGAACGCCGAAGACCGAGAAGAAAATGCAGACAGAGGCGAAAAGGAAGAAAGAAAGAGCGGGTGAAAAAAATTTTATGAAAATCGATCCCGGTGGATGTGGATATGTAGTTGCCGCCTCCTGAAACACCCGGGTCGCGGTTTCCTCATGTGGGCGTTATTCGCTCCGCCTCTGAAAGTCACAGCGATCTGATCGGAAGAACCGCCTAGTCCGGCCACTAACGATCCAACAGTCCCTCCCCGACTATGCTTGTCTTCGTGTGTTCCTCACCCCTCACTTTCCACGCTCCCATCCCTTCCTGGTAGAAACCGAGAGATTCCACTCGACGGCGTAGCTGTTACCTCCCGCACCGCGGCTTCTCCTCATCCTGCGTCACCAACGGGAGAGGTGACTGTCCAGGACAGTTTCAGAGACGCAGTCACCGGCTGCACCACGTATTGGAGGCAGTCCTGTGTTACTTTATATATATATATATATATGTATATACATATATATAAACAACTTTATATATACAAACAACAACGCGAGTGCAAATGCGATAGATATCGTGGGTCGTTCACGGTCCGTGAAGATCTCAAAGAAACCAGCTAGATGACGGATCGATCTTGGAGTTATTAAACTTTATTCTGAAAATTGCGATTATATATATTGTCGGGGAATTAGGGATGAATAAAAGTGACAATATGCCTTGATACTGTGAGGAAGGTGTAGTTTCGAAGCTAATTTTGTGATGAGTATGTTGATAGACGGTAACGGATATTCTTTAGAATTGACAGGACGCTTGAATAAAACAATAGAAAGATAGTTTGGAGATTACAAAAAAGATATAATATGTAAAATATAGTATAACTAAACTAGTGTACTAATTGTTGCAAAATAATTATCAGTAAAATACAGTGTAACTATTTGTGTAACTGATGTTCCAACAGAACTCTGAATTACTACTTTGAAGATAGAAATGAAGGCAATTTCATATATTTTATAAAAATTCCTCGATTTGAATTTTGTTTTAAAAAGTGATTTGTGAAAATAAATATTTTGATTATTTTCAAGAGAACTATCTACTTATAAAAAAAAAAATTAATTCATATAAACTCTCGAATTGGTTTTGAATATTAAAGACGAATTTTTAGGTTTGACGGAGTTTTTATGCGCTGTGCAGGGAAAAAACTCCATTATGCGGAAGAGAATCCAAGAAAAAATTTTTCTGCTTATAATGATCTCGAAATTCGATAGGTAGAAGATAATATATGTTACTGTACAGACAATATACGTGCATGTCGTTGTAACAGCGATTTTCTTTGAAGTCTGGCACCTTTTCCTCATCGATCCAGAGACAAGTTGCAGTTAGTGCTTAGTAGGAATTAGTGGAAAATCGTTATTAATCAAAACAATTGATAGTTTGATAAAGTATTTCGCAAGTGCTTGTTCCGACGGAAATCGTGAATAAATTTTCGAGCAATATGAGATAAAGTGATTATAATTTCTTGAAGGATTTTAAGTTTAATAATTAGTGTCGTTGACAAATACCTTTCTCTACAGAAGACGACAAATTATTTAACTGACACAAAGAAAAAAAAGAGTGAAATATAGAACGTTGGCATGCGTAATTATTAATTAGACACAGAGTGTTGAAAAGAAAACTATACAGAGAGAATCATATATTTCTGCTACGAAGACTTTTTGACCGTATGAAATTTCGACAGGATGAGAAGGTCTCTCATTAACTGATAACATGTGAGTACGATAATTCTATCCCATTGTACAAATGAACAATTTTTTACACATACTACGCAAATTTTAATATTTTGTTAGAAATTTCTGTTTTGCTAATGCTGAAATTAAAGCAAAATGTTTACATATTAAAGCAAAATATTATTACGTTATTATTGAAACACACATTATTTGAAAATAGCAATTCACATTCATATATATCACACGTACGTATATGTATATATATATTTACATATATATATATATATAATTACATATATTACATTATAAAAAATATATATATATATATATTACATTCTTGAATTATATTAATATAATTATTTTTGTACAAGCAAGCCAATTGATCATTCTATAAAATTAACTCCGTGATTTAATAGAGCCTGTATTTTCACGCGTAGGTCGAAGTTTTAAATGTCATCGAGTCGGTCATTACAAGCATAAGTTTGATTACACATCTGAGTAGAAATAATTAGAATAATTTGAAACAAAAATAGTGATTTCAACGAATGAACTTTATTGCGATTGCTGTATTTGAGAAAGTAACCCGATAAGAATGACCATTGCGCGGAGCGTTGTGCTTATCAGGATGCACATTGCATCGCGATCATAGTATATTTATTATATAGATATGCGGCCTGTTATCAACCATTTCCGTATATTAACATTAATTAGTGACGATAACGGTGACGATAGCTAATATACAGAAACGCATAATCTTCGTTTGCGCGTTTATAAATTTTCGTATTCAGTACAATACTCAAATCGCTATTGAATATATGACACTAATTGTGAAATTGATATCGATCAAAAAGGAGAAATTATAGGCATTTAAATTTTCTTCATTTTTTTCTATTTTTTTAGATATCATTCATAATCGTATCGTTTTCAGCTATTTCAAATTTTACTTTTTTAATGTTTTCAATATATATATAAAAAGCTATAATTTATATAAATCAATCACATAATTTAATTAAATGTATTTCTATTTTAATCGGTACATTATTATTATTATTATATTATTATACTGATGATTTTTGTAACGTTAATG